GTGAAGGAATTTGGGAATGACTGGGGGGAACATAGAATAGCAGCAGTGATAACTTCATTACTCATTCCTTCCTTCAGTCAATTGTCACTGAGCATGTTGTAAGTTCTGGGCACTGAACAATGCCTCAAACAGGTTTAGTTCCTGCCCTCAGGGAGCTTACTGTCAAGTGTATGACAAGTGGGTGACAAGCACTTTGCAGAAAAACAAAGCAGAGGAGGGTGTTGGAGGTGGATAGGGAGGCCCATTGAGAAGGTGACATGTGACTGAGATCAGAGGGAAGGCAGGAGGGAGCCTTCCAGGCAGAGAGACTAGTCACAGCAAAGGCATGTGCACTGCTGGCCTTGCAGAAGCAGCAAAGAGGCTAGTGTGACCCATGATGAGGTTGAAGCAGAATCGGGGTGGGCTGGGAATGAGGTCTTGAAAACCACAGAGCGGACTTCGCTTTGACCCTGAGTGAGATGGGAACCACAGGAGGATATTGAACAGAGGAAGAGGGTGAGCTGACTTGGGTGTTGAAAAGATCCCTGTAACTGCCTGTGGGGACCATTGAGGGGAGGTAGGGAGCAGGGCCAGCAGGCAAACTGCAGTGGTCCCAGGCAGGACATGATGGTGGCTGTGGGGTGGGAGAAGAGGGGATAAAAAGTGGCTGGATTCTGCATCTGTGTTGAAGGTAGACTCATCCCTTGAGTAGTTAGCTATGTAAGCCTCCCTACAGTCCTAGAAGGTAGGTACTTTTATGTTCCCTGTTTCACATGAGAGGGAACTACTTGCTCAGAAAACACGAAGTCGCTGGCCCCAGGTAACACAGCAAGGATCCAGGATTTGAACCCAGGAACTCTGGCACTTAACCAGGATGCTTTGCTATCACTACTGGTCTTTTGTATCCCATGGATTTTAAGGGTGTAAGTAGAATTTATCACTGATATATATATATATATCAGTGTCTGGCACATAGTAGGGACTCAGTAACATTTGTTGAATGGGTGGATGGATGGATGGGTAAAGTGAGAAGATAGATGGATAAGAAGCTGAGAGGGTGAATGGACTGGTGAGTGGATAGATGAAGGGTAGATAGGAGAGTGGGTGGATGGGTAAGTGGGTGGAGGTAACTTCTGTATGGAAGAGAGGATAATTTATGAGTGGCTTGAAGGATGAATTAATGGTGGATTGGTGATAGGTGGATAGGTGGGTAAGTGAGTCAATGGATTGATGGTGGATGGATGGATGGATGGTGGATGGATGGATGGTGGATGGATGGTGGGTGGATGGATGGATGGATGGTGGATGGATGGATGGAAAGGTGGGTGGGTGGATAGGTTGGTGAGTGTATGGATAGGTAGGTGGGTGAGCGGGTGGGTGGGTACATGGATTTTAGATGTATAGGAGGGTGGATGAATTTATGAGTGAATTAAGGATGGATGGATGGATGGATAGATGGATTGGTGGGTGGGTAGTAGATGCATGAGTGAGTCGATGGATGGATGGAAGGATGGATGGGGAGGTGGGTGAGTGGATAGATTGGTGAGTGGATAGATTGGTAGGTGGGTGGATGGGTGGGTAGGTGTGTTGCTGAATGGTTTGGTGAGTAGATGGATGTGAGTAGGGGGATGGGAAAGTGGGTGGTGAATGTACGAGTAGATGGTGAGTGAATGAGTAGATGGGTAGGTGGATGGATGGATGGATGGATAAATTAATAGTGGATGGATGGGAAGTTGGGTAAGGGATATATTAGTGGCTGACTGGGTGGTCAATCGATGGACTGAATGAAGGGACCAAGCTCCCTGCCCATTCTGCAGAAGTGTAGCAGGGGATGACAAAGGCTCCGGGAGAGGTGCATCTGGGGGTGAGGGTCTTTGTGGCATCTGGACATGAATGGAGGCTGGCCTTCTGCAAAGGACTGGGGTGGCTGTGGTGTAGTTCCAGGGTAGCCTTAAAGTAAGTGGCTGTGTGGGGGGCCTTTGGGGGAGTATCAGAGGTACATGCGGGAAGCCTGCAGGAGACCCTGTACCAGCTATGGGTATGCGGTGGGGTGCAGCGGGTGGTTGTGCAGCAGCTGAGGTTGTCTGTGTGCCATGAGGCCGCGCTTGGCACAGCCCAAACCACCACCCCCTCTTCCCTGGGCTGCCCAGCCAGCAACCTCCCTCCCTCTGCTTCCCCAGACCTTCGCTGGCAGTCCAGAACCAATGGGTTAATTAGATAACGGAGCCTTTGATTAGCGGGGGAGGGGAAGGCTCCCCGGAGCAGAGAAGGGGGGCCTCGGAGGAGGGAGCACAGGCTCCCTCCCCGTTCGAAGGAGAGAAAGAAGGAGGGGGGCGGAGGGAGGGAGCGGAGGCACAGCTTGGCTCTGCACTGCCGTGTGACTAGAAATTGTAATCGCGGAGAAAGAGAGGGAGACGGAGCTAGCCTGGCGGAGGGAGACTAGACCGACTCACCGACCGACGGACAGACCCACCGAGAACCTGGCAGAGACGAGCCTGGCTCCCGGGGGCCCGACCGGAGGGTGACGGGGGATGGAGAGAGAGTAAGGGAGAGATGGAGGAGAGAGGAGGCCCGGGGAGTCCCAGGGGAAACGAGGCAGTGAGGGAGGCCTGAAACAGGGGTTCGGGGCCAGAGGAGGAAGACAGAAAATCCAGAGCGGCCGGGAGAGCAGAGAAGGGGCCCGGCTGGAGAGAGACGAGGTTGCGGCGGAGGGTGGGGGTGGGGAGGGGGTGGACGGAGGCTGGAGGCAGCGAACAGGGAGGGGACGAGGCCCTCACTGCAGCAGCCACCAAAGACGGCCGCCCCGAGGGGAGGGAAGAGCGACAGGCAGGGGGGGGCGCGGGGAGACCCAAGAAGCCCCTGCGCCCCCCCCCAGCAACGACCTCGACAAAAAGCCTCGGAGAACTAGAAAGGCAGAGCCCCCCGCCGTCTGGAGGCATGTGGATGGGGGGCCCTCGGGGCGCAGGGAGAGGCCCAGCGGGAGTCGACCCACGGGGTGAGTGTCCCTCATGAAGTTGGGGGGGGCAACGCTGATGGGGAGGGAGAGACAAGGACGGGAGATGGCGGAGGGCAAAGGAGGGAAGGGGAGGGAGCCGCTGCGGAAGCCGTGGGGGTGGGGGGGATGCAGGGCTGGCAGCCCGAACGACGAGGACAGATGCGCAGCACGGAGGGGGGGGTCGTGGGCGTCCACGTGCAGAGAGACCTCTAGTCCTCGAGTCCCCCAGCCTCAAATCTCGTCAGTTAGGGCGGCGAGGGCCCTTGGATTTGGAGGGTGTGGGCTGGGTCTCTGCGGAGGTGGCAGGGGAGTCATGAGGACCGAGCACAACCATCCTGGGTCACACACGCGGCGAGGGGCGTGGGGTGGAGAGAGACATTCCGAGAAACGCAGACACACAGGCACAACCAGCCCCAGCCCTGCAGGTGGACAATGCGTTTGGGGACAGTGTCAACCGCCGCCCAGCTGTGCTCTGGTTCGCTCACAGGCACATGCGTGTTTATCTGGGTGATGATCTGGGAAGCCATAGGACAAAGTGAATGTGTGTGTGTTCGTGGAGGTGGGGAGTGGCCCTGTGTCCACCATCCTTGGAGGGTATCGATGTGCAGAATGTGTAGTGTGGACCCTTTGCTGCCGCCGTTCATGGAAGCTCTTTGGTGGGGGGTTGTTGTGTGCTGGGGCAGAGCCTGTGACGTGGGTGCATTTGTGTGTAGTTGAGACACAGCATGGAGGGGAGGGTGTGAAGCCACAATAGGCAGACCCGCCAGCCAGCTCTGTGCCTTTGAACAAGGCATTTCCTTCTCCTGGGAGCTCAGTGTCCTCATCTGTAAAATGGGCTGCCCCTTGTAGTGACTATGAGGCTTAAATGCAGTGTGTGGCGCATGGAAGCCCCTTCAGAAACTGCTACTATTATTCTGATCATTAGTTAATGTTATGATGAGCCCAGCCCCCTCCCCTTGGGTGATGGAAATATAGGGTGGGAGGACAAATTGAGAAGGGGCCTCTCCTGCCCACCCTCTCCAGGGCCCCTGGCCTTAGCCCCGTCCCCAGCACCAACTCTCAGTTAGGTCTCAGTCCTGCGGCAGCTGCTGGCACAGGGCCCACCAGATGCCCCAGAGCCTGCAACCGTCTTGGCTTCCCAGTCAAGCCTTTGGGGGTCACCCCACCCCATTGTAGCCCCCCAGTCCCACCCTCCCAACCCCAAAAGCACCCATGCTCAATCCCTCCCCTCCCGTCCTCTCCTCACCACACCCTATCACCTCAGCAGGTGCTGGTCCACCTGGCATTCCTCCCTCCACCTTTCTGACTGTAACTTAGATCCCTCCAGCTGCTTGGATGACAAGTGGGATGATGGGGGAGGGGAGGCTGGGTTGGCTAAGAGGTTGTGCCTGATCTTTAGGGAGAGGGACTGAGATGAGAGGCTGGGAGTCTGGGCCCCACCTCTTAGAGAGTCAGGTTGGGTTGAGGGGCATCAATAGGTGCTGTGGTGGGAGCCAGACCCTAAACCTAATTCCCTAGCTTTGCTCTTCCCTCTCTACCATCCAGTCCTTGTCCACTCATCTTGTCTGTCTCTCCATTTATTTACCTGTGTGCTGTGATGCCAACCGTCCAATCTTTGTCCACTCATCTTGTCTGTCTCTCCATTTATTTACCTGTGTGCAGTGATGCCAAGAGCCAGTCTGAGGGTGCTTACATCCCAGCGACCCCATTGACTGGCCTGAGCATTTCCTTTTTCCCAGCCTCGGTTTTCCCGTCTGCAAAATGGGAATAAAATCTTTGCGGCTCGGGAAAGACTGCAGTGAGAATAGGCTAGTGAGCAGGCGAGCCACACAACTCTCAGCCGCTCTCAGCTGCTCTGGCTGCGGGTTTCTTCTGCTCCACCATGGGGGATGTAGGGTCAGGGGGAGAGGATCGTAGGGAGATGACGGGGTAGGTAGGACTGCCTGCACGGGGGTCCCTGCCTGCTTACTGAGCCCGTCTTCCCACTCTCTCTACAGCCCCCCGGCGCCCGCGCGGAGCATGAACTTTGAGGATGGCGCGCGCTCGCGGCTCCCCGTGCCCCCCGCTGCCGCCCGGTAGGATGTCCTGGCCCCGCGGGGCTCTGCTCTTCCTCTGGCTCTTCTCCCCGCCGCTGGGGGCCGGCGGGGGCGGCGTGGCCGTGACGTTGGCCGCCGGAGGGGGCTCCCCGCCGGCCACCTCCTGCCCCTCGGCCTGTTCGTGCAGCAACCAGGCCAGCCGGGTGATCTGCACGCGGAGAGAGCTGGCCGAGGTACCGGCCAGCATCCCGGTCAACACGCGCTACCTGAACCTGCAGGAGAACGGTATCCAGGTGAGCGGGACGGGGCGCGGGTGGGCTGGGGAGGAGCGCGCGAGGCGGCCGGTCCCTACGTTTGAACTCCTAGCCGGACTCCCTCCATTGGTACTCGGGCTGCCGAGGAGGCGCTAGAGGTCGCTGGCCTCATTCCCGCCCCCAGAGCGCACCTGAGAAATACGCTCGAAGCCCACGAACTGGGGCCGCCACCTCGGCAGCGGACGCGGCTAACTGGGTTCTTTTCAGCCCGCCGCGCGCTGTCTCCATTCCGCGAGTGGGGACTGCCTGCTTGCTGTCCCAGCTCGCGGCCCGGCCCGCTCAGGCCCCCAGTTCTGAACCCCTCCGCGGTGGCACACATCCACTGAGTGGCCAGGGCCAGTATGAGGCTGAGCCTCGTTTCTTCATCTGGAAAGTGGGGGGGAACAAAAGCTCCCCGCCCCGCGCCGCCTCCCGCCTCTGAGGTTCACTTGAAGGCTGATAGATTGAATCCTTGTCAAGGGTTTTGAAACCGGTTCTGGCACCTGGCGAGCGCTCAGTGGGAGCAAGTTATTTATATCCTCCTTTCCTGTGCATAAGGGACTCACATCCGTTTCCGGGAGCTGGTGGGAGGACGGGCTGCGAGGGCGCGTGTTGGCACTTGGTGGGAGCTCGGACGTTTGTTTGTTCAGACTGTGAATAAGATGGGCCACACCTGATGCTTGGGGGCAGAGCCCCGTGGTCATACCACAGGGTTGCAATCTTGGTACTGTTGACGCTGGGCAAGGGAGCAGTCTTTGTTGTAGGGTTGCCCTGTGAGTTGTGAGTTGTGGAATTTTGAGCCCTGTCCCTTGTCTCTACCCCATCCCATTGGTGCTAGGAGCAGCGCCACCATCCCCTGTGGCAACGACCAAATGTGTCTCTCTAGATGTTGTCAGATGCTCCCTAGTGCCAATCACCCTGGTTGGAAACCACTCTTTCGGAGGTACTTTATTTGATCTAGCCTCCTGTCCTCACCACCCATACATAAAACTGGAAGGTCCCGGACCTTCAAGATCTGACCTTCCTCTTCCCTGCTTTTCTTCCTGGTCTGTCCCTGGAGAGAAGTATCAACAGTCCCTACTACTGTCTGGAGACCTTGGACCTTTCTGTGGGAAAGAGAGGGCACCTCTGGGGATGAGACATAGTGCCAAGGGGTTCTGGGAGGCTAGGGGTCAGGCCACCCGAACCTGTCTATAGCTGGGACTGATGAAATACAGGCAGACCTCAGAGCTATTGGAGGTTCTGTTCCAGACCACAGCAATAAAGCAAATATCATGGTAAATCAAGTCACCCAGTCTGTTGACACTAGACTGATGAAGTGTGCACGTGAAAAAGCCTGAAATGTGCTAATGACCAAAATATGACACAGAGCACATGATATGAGCACATGCTGTCAGACAAACAGTACCAATAGACTTGCTCCATGCAGCGGCCACAGACTTCCCATCTGTAAAAGATGCACTGTCTGCTAGACACAGTAAATTAGGTGCCATGAAACAAGGGGTGTTTATAAAAGGGGCATTGTCAGTAACATCTCCCCATGCTTGCTCCTGCAGAACTGCATCCCTCTGACCCCAGGCCCCCCACCAACTGCCTCCTCCAACAGGCTGCCATTCCTACTAGTTCCATTTGCATCTACCTCCATTCCCTCAGTTGCAGCCTCATTAATCTGTCCCGTTACCCTTAAAGAATGTTCTCTTTCCTGTACCCTATCCATCCTGCCTTCCTTCTTTCTTTCATGTTGCATCTGACAGAGACTAATGCCCCAGTTTGGTGCCAAGTCCTGTTCCGGGTGATGATGCCCAAGTCAGATGCAGCCCTCCCCTGCCCTGGGGTGGCCTTCACACCTAAAGGGAAGAGAGGGGAATAAATAGTTCGGACAATGCAGCAGACTGGGACAAATGACATAGAGAGGGTCATGAACCACCAGGGAATATATTGACAGTGAGGAGTTGAGTCTTCCAACCAACAGCCTGAAGCCCCACATCCCTGCAGTCAAACTTGGTCCTATTTTCTCTCCAGCAAGCTCACTGTATATATAATTCAGCCCTGCAAACATTTGCTAGGTGTTGGGCAGGCAGGGGTAAACCACAGGGAGGACGCTGGTAAATATTATCAACCAGATTCTCCTCCCCTCGGAATTCCTAAGCAAAAAAATGAAACCTACTACCTTTAAGTGCATTCCAATTCATGGCGACCCAGGTGTTACAAAGAAGAATGGCCCCCATGGGGTTTTCTTGGCAGTCAGGTTAAGAAAGCAGATTGCCAGTTGCCAAACCTTTCTTCCATGGTACAACTGAGAGGGGGTGGGGGTGGGGATTCAAATGGTTAGTAGCCGAGCACAAATAATTTGAGCCATCTTTCCAGAGAGTGCTGGTGATGCTGTGGGTTGGTGGTTCAAACCCACCAGCATTCTCCAAGAGAAAGATGAGGCTATCTGCTCCCATTAAAAACTGGCCGTCTGTGAGTGGAAACCAACTCAGTGGCAGTGGGTTTGGTTTGACTTCGGTTTCCCAAATCTATCCCATGCTCCACACTGATACCGCTGAAGTAAGTTCTCCCTGGAAGGTATAGCTTCCCCGTGTTTCCTCTTGTGTAAAGCCCCCAGACGACCCCCTAACTAAGAGCTGAGTCCTCCCAGGATGAGCCCCTGCCAGCTACTCTGCTGAGGTTTCCCTGAGGCTCTTCCTTCATTGGTACCCCGCTTCCTTCAGCCCTGGGGTCCCTCCAGGGGAGACTTCCCTGATGGCCTTTCTCATGGCCCTCAGCTCCCCAGACACCCCTGCCTTCCCCTTTCACTTCTTCAGTTGTTAAACATGTCATCACCACAAACCACACAATGCCTCTGCCCTCACTGAGTTCACGCTCTGGACATGAATGAGTCAGCTGTGTAGACAGACAGTGGGGAAGGGAGCTGCAGACACACCGAGGTCACCGTGGGTCTTACTGAGAAATGGGTAGTGGAGTGAACCTGAAGAGAGATGACTAAGGATCTAAGAAGAATAGTCCTGGAGGGAACAACCAGTGCAAAGGTCCTGAGACAGGACAAAGGCTGGTGTGTGTGTGGAGTAGCAAGAATGCCACTGTGGCTGGAACGCAGTGAGCGAGGGGGAGAGGGTGGCATGATGTAGAGGGACTGGCGCCAAAGGAGGGGGGCAGGCGATGGCAGTAGAGAGAACAGAAGCAGAGGTCCAGGCCAGAGATTTTGGCAGCTCTGACTCTGGTGTTTTGTGAGGAGGTAGTTTAATAAACTGGTAAGAAGCGGACCGACTCAGATCTCTTTTGAAGGTGGAGACCACATGATTGTCCAGCAGACTGGATGTCGAAAGAGATATTAAGAGACTAAGAAAGAGAGGACAAAGGAGAGCTGGAAAAAGAGAAGAAGATGGAGAGAGAGAGGTGGAGTCAAAGAGATTAGGGAGACTGAGAAAGGAGGCAAGACAGAAATCAAAGATGGCTCCAAGGTTTGGGGTCCGAATCGGCCCCTTGTGACTGCTGCCCCGTGACCCAGGTTACTCATCTCCAGACATATGTCACTTCGTCCCGTCAGAACATATATGTGCACTGTAGGCCCTTTTGACATCTATTCATTGATCACTAAGACATGGCCAGGTCTACTGCAAGGAGCTCTACCAGTCAGCTGCTAACCAGAAGGACCTGGTGTTCTGCTTCCATAAAAATGACAGCCTAGGAAGCCCCAAGGGCAGTTCTAAGCTGTCCTATAGGGTCACTCTGAAACAGAATCAACTCAGAAACCACTGGTTAGAGTAGGTATTGAATCCACCTCTTAATGTTCATTATAACGCACACACAAAAGTGGACATGTTCAAAGGACGCAAAGATTAAGTAGAAACTAACGCTTTGTTTCTTAACCCCCGGGTTTCTTCTACTCCCACTCTGGAGATCACCTGCCTCTCCCCAGACTCTACAGAGACACCCCCCACCCCAAGGGCGGTCCAGAATAGAGACCTGTACACATTTAGTGGAGTTGTCTTTGCTGGTGGATGCTGTCCAGACACGAGCTGTCTTTAACAGTGGGGTGCAGCTGCCTTGAAAAAAAATCACAGTCACCTAAGGGTGGAAAAAAACAAAAAAGTAACACAACTTTTTAATTAATACAATTTTTTTTTAATTCAAAACTCACCTCCAGTCCTACCACCTCGATATAAATAGCTCCTGTTTGCATTTTGATTTAATACCTTCTTGGCTCTTTCCTATGCATATATAAATACATTGTTTAATTATTTATCACAGAACAAATATAACAAGTTAATTTAGAAGAACTAGAAAATATACCTAAATAAGGAGTCCTGGTGTGGCACTGTGGGTTAATGCGCTGGACTGCAAAGTTGGTTTGAGCTGCAAGGTCGGCGGTTCAAGCTCACCAGCTGCTCCTTGGAAACCCTGTACAGGGTGGCTATGGGTCGGAACCTGCTTAACTGCCACTTAACAACATACCCAAGTACAAATACAGGGGCCGGGTGGGAGAAGGACAACCAACTGTAACCCCATAACCACAATCCTATGGGGCAGTTTGGAGGTGTGTGGAATATACTTACCCACTGCTGTAGAGTCGATTCTGACCCATAGCGCCCCCTACAGGACAGAATAGACCTGCCCCATAGGATTTCCAAGACTTAATTCTTTATGGGAGCAAACAGCCTCATCTTTCTCCCAAGGACTTCCCCTCGCCTCCCCCCGTTGGGTTTGAACCAGTGACCTTGTGATTAGCAACCCAGTGCTTAGCCCACAGAACCACCAGGGCTATTTTTGTATCTTAGACACGGTTTCCTAATTTCCCTTTTGCTTTTTTCTCCTTGACCTCCATTGTTCGGTTCATAGTGTGTTGTCTGATCTTCACAGGTCTGTATGTTTCCCAGCATTCATTCTGTTATTAATTTCTAGTTCCCTACCATTGTAGTCAAGGAGCTCTGGTAGCGTAGTGGTTACGAATCGGGCTGCAAACCTCAAGGTCAGCAGTTCGAAACTACCAGCTGTTC